GTAAATCAGGATAGCAGTCGCACCAAACAAAGCATGGAAAAAGAGGAAACTCAACTCCAACAAAACCAAGACACTCTACTGAAGACACCAAGACACCAAGACAAGCATAGAATCGAAGGAACCACACAAAAAACCTTTGGAGGACTGGGAATAAATAAGAAACGAAATAGAGATAAAAGGAAAACAAGTAACATGCAGAACAAGCATACTTTGGGCTTTTCATGTAGTTGTCCCATCTATGAGCACCATTAGGACGAAGATGATCTTGAACTCGAGCAGCTGATTTTCCATTTTCGTAAGTCAAAAAGTAGTTAGGATTACCACGAGTTGCTTCCTTGTAGTTTCCAAAGTACATTTCTTTTGTGAGATGGTCATAATTCTTCTTTAACATCGAGACCTACCACATGATATAGATGTATTACTGGTAAACAGTCTAAAAGAACTTTAGTTGCATAATTAAAACAAATTACAGACTACACAAACTTTCTCGAAGAAATTCTGGCTGCTACAAACAAAGAGTAAGGTCTAACACTCAAGCTACTTATATTTGCAAGGTACAATTTTACTTTCTTGCCTCCACAGTGTCTAACTCCAACGCAACCTTCTTTTTCATTCGTGTGGAAAGAGATGAATCTTTGACTACTAGGTGTTGCTCCATTCTCAAGTATTGGGTAATAGAATTATCCAAATTTTATTTCAAGAAAATCTAAACCTATTCCTAGCCAAACTATTGAATTTAACACTAGAACTTGAAAGATAAGAAAAAAGGATACAGTAAAAAGATATCTTACTTCACTAAAAGGTTCTTTCACATCATCTCTCTCAACACTGGTCTCCTGAAATATTTGTCATCATCAGAGAAGATATTAACAAGAAAAAAGACAGCAGAATATGAAAACGAAGCAAATGCATGCTTTTTGAATATTTGTGAATGTAATTACACGCTTAGACAGAGTTAGAAGACAACCTAGAGCAATCTCAATGACTTACATAGTTAGGAAATATGACCATGTCAACATCTTCAGGTATATCTGCCAGAAGTCTCCGTAAAGAATACTCACTAGTTCCAGGCTTCCAGCTGGATGCATTAGCTCATCAGTATCAAGATGAATGATCCATTCCACGCCAGCTTCCTGTAAATTTACAAGGCAATGAAGTGGATCAAAAGGTAACCATAACTGGAAACATATACTATGTCTACTTTTCTAGTTTAGAGGTTCAAAAGGTGACTATACGAAGAATGCTTTCAGCCTAATAAAATGAAGGCTAAAATGAGTGGCACTAAGCTCATATATCCTGAAATTTCTAAGCTTCCAGTCTGAATATTAATAAAATGAAGGCTAAAGTGTCATAACCTGTTTCTTAGGTTGCACTGAGAAAGTTCAAATGGAAAGAGTGTCGGTATCTAGCCAGTACAAAAATTGCGAGCATTACTGACCAGGAACTGCTCCGAGAGAACGTGGTGTTTGTTATTGGAAGGAACAGACGCTTATACCAGTATAACAAAGTTACTGAACTATGGCATGAGCATTACCAATCTAAACATTATCAAGATCTCCTGGAACTGCAATGAGGTTATCTTCACTGTCACTGCAAGGTTCTCTTTTCATGCTTTCGGCAGATGGTGGACTAGTTGAATATAATTGGAATCCGTCAAACGGATGGAATTGGATAGAACACGGAACACCAAATCCAAGTGTCATTCTTGTTGGTTCACCGGGACCATGCTTCACAGGAGCTCATCTGTTCTTAATAGGTTCAGATGGAAAAGTGTATCTAAGGTTCTTGGACGATGGAGCATGGAAATGGAGAAGCTGTGGCTTCCCATATATGGCAAATGAAAAACATGTCTCTGATAATCATGATAAATGAAACACATGTATCTGATAATCATGATCGTAAAGAAACTTGTACTTACGATATCTTGCAAATCAGTTAGAGAAAATTGAAGAAAACCTCCAAGCCTTAAACAAAAACTGTGACTCGAAGGTTAGTGTTTATTTACAATTCCTCTACTTGCTTCTTGAATATTTGGACTATGTTATACGGACTTTCCATCCCTTTGCACAATTTTGATTCCAAACATTCCAAACTACGTGATCTCACTACAAATAGCAGGGAAAAGATGACAACTCCTCTTTCACACACATATTATCAGCATACTATCAGAAAAGGTTGTGAAGGAGAAAAACTTTCAGAAATTGCCCAAATTTGTGAGAAATATCGAAAGTACCCTACCTGAAACAGAGTCAATAAAGCCAGATGTTCTTCCTCCGAAGCAAAGAGGTGATGGGTGACCCACTTCTCGGCGGACTCATCGCTCCTGACCTACCTGGCGATAACCCGCACCACCCCTTCCTCAAAGGCTGAGAAGAAACCTTGTTTTATCTCCATTTCCCAAAACATCAAAAGTCCCAACACTTTTTTCCACCACACAAGGAGACTTAAGGTTACCATGGATGAAATTTCCAAGTCATAAATCAGATAAACGCATAAGAATGGAGAATTGAGAATAAGCGACTTAGCTAAACTGATTGAAAAGCAACCTTTGAATGAAATTTAGGGCTTTTGTTTTTTTAGAAATTGGGAGGAAATAGAAAATATGGGGGAGCTTATTATTTTACCCAAACATATGGTAGTACTCTTATTTTCTAAAATTCAGACAAAACGTTATTGGAGGGAACTAGTTAGTTTAGCTTATTTTTTAGTGAGTATTTATAGGGCACGCTTATAAATATTTGGAGAAAAATTTGGCCATAGATTTCCCAAGTAATATTTGGGAAATTTTTTGCAAATAACGTTTGTCCATACAATTTGTCATTAGTTGATAAATATTTTTGGCAAATATCTCAAATTTTCCAAATTTCCATTTTATTTAGCTTAAATATTTTTGTGTGTGCATTTCCATCATTGTGCCGTATATTTTAAAAATTAAACTTTCATCTTATATAACTTAAAAATTAAACTTTCATCTTATTTAGCTTAAAAATAAAACTTTCATTTTAAGTTTATTAAAGTAAAAGAAAATTTATTATTAAAGTTATCCACATTTTAATTATAGATCAAATATAATTATTAAGTGAGTAATACAAAATTTAATAAAAAATATGTAATTTAGTAGTAAAATGAACATTTTAAGAGAAATCAAAATATAAATAAACATAATAATTACGCAAATAAATTCAACTTATGATATAATCATAAATTAAAAAAATTGTATTTATAAAATGTAAATATTTAATAGAAAAATATATTTATCATGAAAAATATGTAATTTAGTAGTAAAGTGAACATTTTAAGAGAAATCAAAATATAAATAAACATAATAATTACGCAAATAAATTCAACTTATGATATAATCATAAATTAAAAAAATTGTATTTATAAAATGTAAATATTTAATAGAAAAATATATTTATCATAAAAACAACAAATAATTGAGGTTGTACAGGCGAGTCCCAATTATAGAATCTTTTAATGGGTAAAGATAACAAACGGGTCAAGACCCAACCCAATTCAAATTTGCTTGAGTCAAGTCCGATAATGAGTTATAGAACGGGTCAAAACTCAATCCAACCCAAATTTTAATATGTTTTACTTATTTTGTTGTTCTTTTTACAATATTTTAGTACCTAATAAAATTATTATTTTTCTTTATAATGGCTATACATAACATATCAAATTTTTAAGAGAAAATACATTAAAAAAAAAACCTGAACTTGGTCGGATAACTTTAGTACTTAAACTACACGGGCTTTTAAATACCCCCTTAAGTACTAAAGTAAGTTTTTGTGCCAAGTTCAGGGGGGGATTTTATGTCTTTTCCTAATTTTTAAAAAAGTTCTTTAAGAATATTTTGACAAGATTTCTGTTGATTCAATATTTGTTACATATCACCTAAATTTTAATGGAATTGAAAATGAGTTAACCTAATAAATAAGCGGATCAATAACCCATCCAAACTTAAAACGGGTTGGGCAAAATGGGCTTAATTTTGCCAATCCTAACTTTTGGCAAGCTATATTGTATAATCAATGTTAGGGTGGAGGTTCGAGATTTCTAAATTTTGAATTCAATAACTCGAAATTGGTAGTTAAAAGTAGATACCAAATATCAAAATTTTAAATTTCAGTTAGGTATTTGGTATTTGGTATCTGGTATCTAGTAAAACTTTTTTAATTTTGTATGTCATTTTTAACTCAAATAATATCATTACTAAATTGTGATTCATAATTTATTCTCTTAGATATAATAATTTGAGTATTACCTTTAAAACTAAAATATCCACATGAAAATTTTGTATTTTATTTTTATTTTAAAATATTGCTTGAGATTTGAGAGCTTCTCATTGATTATTTTATTATTATTTTTGCCATTATATATAGTATGATATCAATTATGTGATCTTATTAGTATAAGTATGATATTTTTCATATTTCTAAACAATTTCTTATATCAAATTTAAATATTTATCGGCTTACATTGAAATTTTTATTTACTACTTTTTCATTTTCTTGTTCATATGTAGCGTTATTGTGTTAACATTTTGTCATGTGTGTGTTTTTTTAAAAATATTTGTTCACTTATGTCCTTCTATTACTCATCTTTTAATATAGAAAAAAATTTAGTTTCTTGCTTTCACAACTCTATTTATTTCTTATCATACTTTTATTTAATTAATCAAGTATTGTACCCCATTTAAAAATAAAAAAGAAACTACCCCATTTAAAAATAAAAAATCACACTTCTTCCTTCTTCTTTTTCTAAAATTAAAAGTGAGGCCCTTTAAACCTCATTTATTTAAATAAAAAAGAGAATATATCATCAAAACAAAATTAAAAAAAAAAAAGAACTGAAAGATAAAGGCAAAACCAAATTAGGCAACCAAAGGACATAGAAAGTCATCTTCTTCAATCTCTATGCCACCGCCACTGATGATCTCGAAGCACCAGTTGCTCACCGGATATCAACTTCCCAATGTCGTATCTCCATCATTTCAGCTGCTTCCACACTCAAACTTGACTCCGGAGATCGGAATCTATGGAGACCTCCCAATCTGAGAAAATGCTGCTCTTGGGTGCTGCTATAAAATGCTCCAGGTAAGACTTGAAAAACATTATATATGAACTAGAACTCCTTTTATCTAGTCTAATCATTGATGGGTTGAATCCCACAAAGAGATTAATACCACCATCTAAATTTAGAACTTTGAATTGGAAAACTAACTCATTGTTGTTTATACGATTTATGGGTTTGCAAAAATTTTGGATTGGATCTGTAGAGGACGTAGATAGGAGCTATCAACAATCGAATACACCACTAAGAACTTCGGAGTCTTGATTTCGTACCACTTTGGACACCCATATGCTCTCACCATGTGCATGGTTCGATTGGTTACCGACATAGCTTCAGACTTTAAAAGTTTGCTAAAGTTATGCATCAATTGTAAACTCCTTCATGCTTCTTATCGGTACTTGTATATCTTATTATTGTGTAGTACTGGTGAACTAGATAATCTAATCAGTACCTGGAGAATCTGTCTACTTGATTCTTATGTATAGAGTGTTACATTTTTGTAAATTTATTATCTTCTTGGCTATTGTTGGGACTTCATGGAAAGAATTGAACTCATAATTACCTGCAAAAACAAAAACTAGGTTAGCAAAAAAACCAGCAAGAGTATTTCCCTCCATGAAGGAGTGTTGTACTCTTACTGATATAGAATTTCTGATTCTATTGATGGAGTTGACCTCCATTGTCACGCTCCAAGGTGACTCCCACTCTCCATTAAGAATATTAACCATTGACAAAGAGTCAGTCTCAATAATAATCTGTTGAAAATGTTTGTCTAAACAGTGTTGCAGACCCTCTCTAATTGCAATTGCCTCAGCCATCAAGTTAGAAGAATCAACCAACTTCACATCCTTAGCCCCTACTAGATTACCATTATGATCTCTCACACAAAAAGCAGCAGAACTAGGACCAGGATTACCCTTAGCCTCATAATTAATGAGATATAGCTTTATTTCTCTTTGGTTGAACTCTGATTAGTTGCGTACTCTCACCACTGCCCTTCTTCTTTCCTTTTCTAGCTGTCATCTCTCTCAATCTCGACTATAGGGCTTCAGATTTTTTGGGATCGTGAAGAACAACACCGTACGGGATGTCGAAACGAGGACGATGAGGTTTTGCCGGGAACAAGTTCAGAATGTCACTGGGTCTGCCGGTGGTGGCGACGGTGAACTGTGCTGATAACACTGGTGCGAAGAACCTGTACATCATTTCCGTGAAAGGGATCAAGGGAAGGCTTAACTGGTTGCCTTCAGCTTGTGTTGGAGATATGGTAATGGCTACTATAAAGAAGGGTAAGCCAGATCTCAGGAAGAAGGTTATGCCTGCTGTCATTGTTCGTCAGCGCAAGCCATGGTGTTAGTTTCGCTCTTTCCGTCCATCACTAGCCAAGGTTCATTTGAGTTCGAGGTCACTAGTGAAGTCGGTTGTGGTGGAATAGCTTATTTCAGCTCGTCATTGTCTCAGTCACTGCTCATAACGAGGTAAAGCACTCTTAGCTCTCTTATTGATTCAGTTTGCACTAAATGTTTGATAATGATGTGTTCTTTGATTGGTTCTAAGATTCTCTTACATGATGTGTTTAAGTCTAACTTTCATTCTTAATCTTCATCTTATTTTCATTGAAATTGTTAGTGTAGGTCTCATTTCTAATATCACTTAGTGTCTATTTTGAAATTATTTCTCTGTTTGTAGTCTTCATAATTCATGGTCACTATGCCTGCCTCATGTTTTAGCTTGTTTCACTGATTCATCATGATATTGTTCTGTTCTTATATTGTTGAAATAGTATTCATGCTTTCATTATGTGTTTGGAGGGTGCCGAATGTGTTATGCAGTTGCACATTCAACAAATTTTGAATATAAGTTGAATTTTGAGTTTGTATTCTTTAAAGAATGTTCAAACAACTGTTCCTATCTTGTTTTAGGAGAGAAATGTCTTATACATGTCCTCTGTTGTCATACGTTGCTCATTATTTTTTTAGAGTATGAGAGTGTTGGCAGTACACTTCTATAGTATTCTTGATGGTGTTGTAATGAAGCCTTTGACATGTTTGGTATTAAATTAGATTCCTTATGTTAATATTTTCTTATATATGTGTCCAATTTAGTATTAAACATGTGTAGTTTCTTTCCCTATATGAATCTTATTCTTCGTGATTATCATTTGTACTACATCTGTAGTATATTTTGCATATTACAGTGATCTAGTTGAGCATGGATTATGAAGCTTAATTGTCCTTAATAATTGTGGTATTAAGTTGATAATAAGCCCCCTCCTATCTTTGTCTAAATATAAAAATCTCTATCCTGATTTCAATATGTTCTTTATCTTAGTCATTTACTTGATGTTACTGCTCAATATTGCCATCCTATATATATAGCTTAGTGTGAGCCCGTGATCATAAGTTTGAGTGGAAGTAAGTGGATTTTATGTAGTACTAGAGCAACTTTATAGTTTGAGTTGTAGTGATTGGATTTTATAGATTTTTTCCAGCTTCTAAGTGAAAGTTTATAGTTTAAGTTGAAATAATTGGCTTAAAATAAATTTTCATTTTAAGTTTATTAAAGTAAAGAAATTTATTAACTTTCCTCTAATTTTTCATGCTATTAACTTTTCCCTCTAATTTTCATGCTATTAACTTTTCCCTCTAATTTTTCTACTACGATAAAATATTCCCTCCTATTAGTAATAAGAAACTTTTTTTAGAAAAAAAAAACCCTAATCCTGCTTAAAGTCTATATCGCCTCAGGCCCTCAACACATTGCTCAAGCAAAGAAAATCATGGTAGCCATCTCCATCCACAAGTAATCCTAACGTACTGGTTAAATTTTTGGATGTTCTACCATAAGCAGCCTTCGCATGTGAAAAGCAAAGAAAGGAAAACCACTGGAGTTCAGAAACTGTTCTTCTCGATTCCTCTCTTTTCGTATTATTTTTAAAGATTTCATGTTTTCTTTTGGTTCTGGATATTAATTTTCACGTGTTGTGATCTTGATGGC